ACGTGTGTGTGTATATATATATATATATATATACACGTGTGTGTATATATATATACGTGTATATATATATACGTGTGTATATATATACGTATATACATATATACGTATGTATATATATACGTATATATATATATATATGTATATATATACATATTCCCACACTCTTGCAATATTCTAAACAATGTTTCTAAACTCTAAATGTTCTAAAAGAGCACAGCATGTCATGATTTCAGCTCTCTGCCTCATCTGCTCTTTGCCACCTGCAAGCATTTTTGGCCACGCCCACTTCGCTCTGCAGAGATCAGCAGCAGCATGAAGCTCATCCTACAGTGTGGGCTGCACAAAGGTGCAGCAGGTGCTAAATAATTTAAAATAATTAATTTTAAATAAAAAAATTGTTGTGTGCTTATAATGACTTATTTTATGTCTGTTTTCACCTGAGCTTTAATTTTCTTGAGAGTTTCTGCATCAAACACTTTTTGAGTTTGCAGTTTTTGATCTTAGGAGTTTTTCTTCCACTGCATGGCTGGAAGAGAAGGACTGGTGGACACGGCTGTGAAGACGTCTCGATCAGGATACCTGCAGAGGTGACACAACTGTCACAAACACCAAACAAACCTGAAAACAGGCTCACAACTGTCAGTGTTCATCATATTCTGTCTGTACTCATCAGCCTTCACTGACTGAGGGATGAATTTATGTCCTGAGACGTTTAGCTGTGTTGGAGTGTTGTCATTCTTCTTGTTACTCATCTGTGTCCCATCCCCCTGCTCTTCAGGTGCATCATAAAGCATCTGGAGGGTTTGGTGGTCCAGTATGACCTGACTGTGAGGGACAGCGATGGGTCTGTGGTCCAGTTCTTGTACGGTGAGGATGGGCTGGACATACCTAAGACTCCGTTCCTGCAGCCAAGACAGTTCCCCTTCATAGAAGACAACTACGAGGTACCAGAAGAACCGTCCCCCACCTGTCCCAACTGTTCACACTCTGTTGCAGGAATGGTCACTTTACAGTCAAACTGATACAAGATTCTTAAATCACTACAAGGAACATTTAAATATTTAAACCCCCCTCTGAGACCCTGGACTAGAGTCCAGAGCAGCCAGAAGCTTTCAGTGGTCTCCTGAGAGGGGACTCAAGTCCTCCTAACCTCAGTACAAACTCAGATGTTTTGTGAAGGCCTCAGCGTTTGGTACTGATCAGTAGTGACCAAACAGCATCATGAAGACCAAGGAACACACTACAGATTAAAAAAAAGCTGAACTTGTTTCATAGACAGCTCATCAGTAGCCCATGTATGGTACCAGCTGATGACTGGACCTGCAGGTTGAAGGTTCTGATCTGGTTGTGTTCAGGACCAGCTTTACTTCTATGCAGATGACTCAAGTTCAATATTCTGAATGTTGGAGCCTTCTGGCATCGACTCAGTGTGTCGACAGGCAGCTGTAGCTCACATGTTCCTCCTTTGATCAGGTCATCAGGCAGTCCCAGGGTCTGGACAGGGTTCTGACTCATTTGGACCCACAGAGTGCCAGTTGCCACTTCGCAGCCATCCAACGCTGGAAAGCAAAGAGAGGAGCGGCGTGTCCTCGGACAGGTGTGGATCAAAGTGGGACTGGATGTCCTGGTATTCTAGCTATGATTTGTTGTTGTTGTTTTTGTTTTAGTTTGTTGTAACATTTGTGTTGATCTGTGTCAGGAGCGTTCTTGCTGTTTTCTCAGAAGAAGTTGGCCAAACTGAGAGAAACTTTAGGAGCAGAGTCCACCACTCACCCAGACCCTGCTGTGGTGCAGGTACGACCCCACAGCGAGGTGCCTCAGCATCTCATCTGGTTGACTTTAGACACAGCACTTAATAAAATAAAACATAATACAGTAATATAAGTTTTTATACATACAATATAATACAGTAATTATAAATAATATAATAAAAATAAAATGCAGAACTTTTGTTGACCTTGTTGCTGTTTTTAAGTGCTTTATAAGTAAAGTGGTATGGTATGGTTCTGACCTGGTCCAAAGTGTCACCTGACCTCTGCCCCGTCCTCAGCTGGGGAAGCAGTGGCACTCCCTGGATGAGGCTGGCAGAGCCCGGTACTGCAGGAAGTCCTCCCGCTGCCCGGAGCCCTCACTGAGCCGGTTCAGGCCCGACATCTGCTTTGGATCAGTTTCTGAAAACTTCCACAACATCACAGAGGAATACCTCCAGAACAGAACCAGTGACCGACAGGATTGCCTGGACTCCCACAGGTACACTGTGTCTGGGGGTGGGGGGAAACACTGTGCTGTATTGGAGGGAGCCAGGTGTCATGGATGACACTCAGCTACCACCATCAGTATACTGAGTTAGACATCTCTGTGTCTGAGTGAAGTCAAACGTCCTCTTCCTGTGTCTCCAGCCTTCGGCAGCTGCTGCACTACAAGTGGCAGCGAGCTCTGTGTGACCCGGGGGAGGCTGTGGGTCTGCTGGCAGCTCAGTCTATAGGCGAGCCCTCCACACAGATGACCCTCAACACCTTCCACTTCGCTGGCAGAGGAGAGATGAACGTCACGCTGGGAATCCCTCGGTAACACCACCGCTCAGCTGTTCTTTATTCAAACAGAAGTTGTCTTTGTCTCACTGTGTTTGTCCACCCGACAGTCTGAGGGAGATCCTGATGGTGGCCAGCTCGAACATCAAGACCCCCATGATGAGCGTCCCTGTGCTCAACAACAGGAAGGCCCTGAAGAGAGCACGAGCACTGAGGAAGAAGCTCAGCAGGGTGTGCCTGGCTGAGGTTAGAACCATCTTCATGTTCTCCTCATGACTGAAAGCTGCTTACAGGCCGTCATGGTCCTACCTGTGCTCTGGTGTCTGTTAGCAAAACGTCTCAGGAATCATTGGATGTACGTCTACAAGTCCACAAACAACTAACTTTTGGAGTCACCCTGGTTAAAGATGACCTCCACAACCATCTGACTTCAGACAACATATATATATTTCAATATTGTTAATAATCCACCACGGGGCATTAAAATACAGACAGTTCGGAGGCATTAATTCCGTCAAGGCGCTGGACTCACCTGGAGACATCCAAGTCTCTGTGATGCAGAAAAAGTCCAACTTGTGCTTTTGAAAGTAGTCCCTGAGGATAAAAGTTTTGTTGGTAACAAATCTTGCATTGACCAAACACATCTGGATACTGTTCAAAGTGGAGCCAGCAGCGGTGGAGTTTGCGTGCGCTAATGGCCGGAGGTTTACAATAACAGCCCCTCCGGGTCGGTCCGTGCACCAACAACTCCCGTTATTTACCTGGTCCGGGCACGTGGGAAGCTGGCGATGGAAACCATGACCACCAGCTGAAGAGGAAGATGCAGCGCGCAGGGCTTTAAGCTTTACCAGTCGCCCAGCACGTTTTCCCCGGCGTCTGTAGCGATATCTCCAGGCAGGCAGGTGAGGAGCGCAGCGGAGGTATACTGGCACGTTCGCCAACAGAGGGAGAGGAAGGGGGGGTGGTCCAGAGGTACGCTCATATTGTTCCAAATAAGCGACATCGGCGGCAGAAAAACGAAGATCCAGAAGCTGTTGTCGGTCATACACCAGCAGTGAGTTTATGTCCGATAAAAAACGAACAAAACACAAATGATCCGAACACCATCAGCAGAGGTGGATTGCAAGCCATGTACACGAGCGCCATCTTACCGGAAGATCCTATTATATCTCCTCCAAGATATATTGACAAACGTCCACAGCAACAACATTTATGTTGACCAACGTCCACAGCAACAACATACTGTATATATTGACCAAAATCCACAGCAACAACATACATATTGACCAACGTCCACAGCAACAAAATTTATATTGACCAACATCCACAGCAACAAGCAAATAAAATTTTTAAATATGTTTAGAAGCATCTTTTAATCTGATAAAGCTCGTTTGTTGCTAAATCTGACATGTTCAGGAACAAGATAAAGTCCTGCCGTACGGACCGAACAATCTAGAACACGTTGAAGTGGACTGCTGTGGAACTCCAGATGTTCTCTGATCATCAGAGTCAGAGATTCTTTATTGTCTTTCGCACCACATGTGGTACATGTGGTGGAGCGAAATTATGTACACAGGGTCCCAGTTAACATCCAACAATAAAAATGTAAAAGAAAAACAATGATAACATCTAAGACATGAACTGAGAAAAACATTAACTAAAAATACACTAAGCACTAGTAGCATAAAAACATTACGTCGAACAGCAACACGAACATGAGCATGAGTCTGTGTGAGCAGATGAGCACGCATGAACACAACATGAAACAGATCAGCAGCAACGTGTGATTTTTCACAGTGATTATTCTGGTTAGAGATTCATGAGTAACAGCTTCAGGGTAGAAGCTGTTCCTCAGTCATCTCAGAGTCAGGAAATTAAAACTGCACAATAGGCTTCCTGAAACTATTTTATACTTTTAGTGTTTCAGTGACTCCTACATGCCCCTCCCCCCTCCATGTCTGGAGACGGCTCTGTCCTCAACTTGTCCTGTGAGCTCCACAAACTGTGATTTCTGATGAAATTGTAAGACACGATGGACAAACTGTTCTCAACACCATCGTAGTCCGAAGCTCTGCAGGACACACCATGTGTTCTTCTTCTGCTGATGTTCTGCTGATCTTCTACTGTCTCTCTCTCTCTGCAGGTCCTGCAGAAGGTGGACGTGGTTGAGACTTTGCGAATTGAAAAGTATCACAAGCATCGGATTTTCAAAGTAACCTTTACCTTCCTGCCTCCTGACCGTTACCATGACGACAAGCTGCTATCTCCTCATCAGATCCTCCGCTACATGGAAACAAGGTGTGTGTCTTTCCTGGATGCACTTTGTCCAGGCAGGGGGTTCTTATTTGGTCCAAAGACCTATTCCCGTATGCTGACACTAAGGTGGGAACTGAGTTTAAGTCAGAGTCTGGTCAGATTCAGGTCGGGGTCTGGCTAGAAAAATGAATAGAGGTACACACAGAGCCCTAAGACGTGTAGAAATACCAACCTTTTTGTGTTCCTCCCTCTGAGAAGTTACTGTAACCACCTTGCAGCCTTGTCAAATTCAGTGCTTCCTCCCTCCTGGATGCCACTGGCCAAAATGGCTGCCACAGTAAAGGTGCAGTTCATGGGCCCCATGGTGCTTCAGGGTCACCATTGGGGATAAAAATATACTGCACACAAGTTTTCAGCTGAAGGACCTGAACAATATGTGACTCTTAACAGCTTGTCGAGAGTCGGGGCCAACATGGGATGGAGGCAGGGCAGCCGACTTGGGACCAGAATGTTTCAGGTTCGACTCCCAGCCATTCCCACATGTCATGGTGTCTCTGAGCAAGACACCTAATCCCTAATTGCTCCCCGGGTGCTTTTATAGCTGCCCACTGCTCCACCTGGGTGTATCCCAGGTGCGATGGGTTAAATGCAGAGAAACAATTTCACCAATGTGTGGGAACATACAATGATAACAATCTCAAACTTCTCCCCACCTTGTTCCTCCGTCAGATTCTTCCGTCTTTTCCTGGAAGCCATGAAGAAGCGTGTAGCCAAACTGGCCTCCATCGCCGTGGAGACGAGGAAGGCCTCCCTCAGAGACAAAGACCCTGACGTGGAGGAGACAGCTGCCACAGCGGAGGTCTGAGTGGACATTTGTCTGTGGACTCTGTGTTGTCAGTGTCTGTGGTAGATGTTTGCTGAAGGTCATTTGTCCCTTTGACCCTCTGCAGTTAGATGAAGGAGGAGAGGAGGGGGAGATAGTTGATGACCAGGGGGACGAAGGAGATGCCGACGCTTCAGATGCCAAGATAAGGAGCAAACAGGAGGAGGAGGTAGGTCAACAAGCTCACAGCAGGAGAAATGTTTTGCAGTCTGTGTGGACTAGAGGTCTCTGCTGGGCTTCATGGGTCATGGTCACAGTCATCTGTGTGGAAACCAAACCCAGGCGTTCTTCATGCAGACCATCAAAGAGCTGGTTCTGCTGCTGGTAGGTCCAGAACCAGTAAGCTGCTGTAAGGTTGACCGTGCTGCTTTTGTCCTGTAGGTGGACTACGAGAGCGAGGATGAAGATGAGAGTGATGATGCTGAAGATAAGGAGGATGGGGAGGCTCAGGAGAACCCAGAGTCCAACTCGGTGGAGGAGTCTCAGCCTGAGCCTGCACCAGTGATCGTGGAAACTAAGAAGAAGGGACCGTCAGAGGATTCCTTGGTCCAGACGAGAGTGAACTCAGTCCTGCAGATCAACTCAGCTGTAGAGAAATATTCCTTTGATCAGGAGCAGGAACTCTGGTGTGAGGTGAGCATCTAAACCTGAAGACTCAAAGGTCAGGATGGCTCCAGAAGTGCCTGGAACACAGAACCTCCTGAGGGACAAGGTTCCACAGCAAAGGTGGTATCAGAACCGATCTCTGCTGAGGAACCTGAGAGGAACCTGTAGGTCTCAGGAGGAGGACCCCGGTGTTAGACCAGAGTCACCTCAGAACAAAACCTTTAAACATTCCACCAGACTGAAACAGTAAAGAACCTTCTTTTACATTTGGAGTTTAAAACAAGAAAACAGCATCGGCTCATGATTTCCTAAAAACATGAGAGGTTCTGAAAACTGACCAGAACCAAGCTGAGGTGTTCTTCACTGTGTGGTGGAGTAAAACTCATTCATTCAGATCAGACTGTGGCTGCAGGAGGGAGCTGCTCCTCCTCACAGGAGGATCTGAAAAACTTCATACCTGAGGTCACAAGTCCTTCAACAGCCTTTCACTGCAGATTCAGAAGTAAACAAACAGGCTTCACAAACATGTTGAAGTCACAAACAGAAGAAGTAAATAAACTGACGGGATCAAACACTGAAGCAGAACGTCCTGCAGAAACAGGTCCAGAACAGTTAAAGGTTGGATTTAGATCAAAATCACATTTGTCAGACTTGATAAACATCATAAAGACAACAACAGGATGTAAACTGTAGACCTAAAGACAACAACATTATGTAAACAGTAAACATAAAGACAACAACAT